CAGGGATTCTCTGCAAGGATGTTTGGCTAGCAGTGTGCATGATGCGGTTGCTGCGCACAAAATGTATCAGCGTTGAAAGGAAAAAATGGCCGTTTTCCTAATTGTAGAGAAACCCAGGTGAACGGTGATTACACCAGGACCAAGAAATTAGAACTGCATAATAAAGGGACTGCCAATTGGTGCCCTTCAAGCGAGTACAATTTTTAAGGCCGACATTGCAATTCACTCTGCAGGAATTTTTTTCCTTCATTTCTTCTTTTCATTTTTTTTCAGTTACCCTCACCCCCATCACTTTTCTAATAGTCCTTCCCTTACCGAAACACGCAACGTTTTTTTGCAAGATTCCTCTTAACAGCGCCATGTTTATGATTATGCACTAGTGATTAGGAATAGAGTTTGCGTAGCCTAAGCCAGTCAAATTTACTACTGCTTGAAATGTTTCTTTTGATTATAGGTGGCTCGATCAGTTGCTTTATCGAATCATTTGGATGATGAAGTCCTTCTTAGACAATGTCAACTCCGACCATGAGGCTGCAACGCAGAGATTAACCCACGTGATAGAAAGACTGAGGAAGCTTCAAGCCGAACAGGAATCGTCAAAAGAGGACCTTAAAAGGTGTCTTGTCCGTGAGACTGCCCAGGCCATTGCAGTTTTGATCAACTACTTGAAAAGAGATGACGTGATTGAAAGTTTTTGCAGATGGAGCTCAGACGAACTTCCAGATGTCGAGGGATCATGGGAAGTTACTGAATCAGCAATCATGAAGCTCATCCAGACCAGACTGCAGACACTGATTGAAGAATGGGAGGGAGAGCAGCAGCACTTTGCAAAGGCTCGCAAATCAGTGGTCACTTTTTTTCTAAGGAAGTACAATTACCTTGAGAACGAGCTTCGCGACGTGGAAGTCGATGTCTCAAAAATAGGAGCTACACCTGAAACCAAACCGACAAAAGAGAGTATAGAAGAACAATTTCTGAATAATATCTCCAACTTTTCGATGCCACTTGAAAGCAAAATTGCCCTTGGAATCATGATGCCTTTCCTCATTCCGGCCACACTTGTTGGGGTTGCGTTGGCTGTGCCAGTAACATTACTTGTTCTTCCTGTGGTGGGAATCAAGTCCATTGTTGACCAATTCCACGAGGCCAAGAAGAAGAATAAATATAAGAAAGATCGTTCTGAGTTTGTTCAAAAGGTGTCTCAGAAATACCTGGAGAAAGTTGCAACTCATGAGTCACTTCAGCCACTCGTCGAAGACCAACTAATGCAGGCTGTGAGCAGTCTCACAGAGCTGGAGGCAAAAATTCCCATGTTGATTGAGGCTGACATGGAACTTTGTCGGCAGCTAATAGATGAATCCCGTAGCAAGAAGGACACCGAAGCTGAGTACAGGCCCCGCAAAGAGAAATGCGAGCGGCTGCGTGGAGAGCTCGCGTTATTTGGTTCTCTGGAAATTCGGGGTATGGCAATCGCTTGGGATGACCTGGAGTGGGAGGTCAGTGAGAAAGTCGACCTGAATCATTCCCTGCCACCAGGCATCTATCAGGGAAGAGTCGTAAAGGGAAGATATGCATCCGGTCGTCAAGTCACTTTGAAAGTGTACAAGGAACTGCTTACCGGCAGCAATGCTATTAAGTGTTTAGACGATGAGGCAACCATGAGGTACTGCCCTATATACACACTCTATGTTATTGAACTAGCTTGAGGTTCGAATAGGGGAAATAATGGTCGAGAGTTCTTGCAAAACAAAAGAACGAAATATTTCTCTATGGAAGCCAAACAAGCTATTTCAATAAATTATTCATTATGATGGTTCTTTAAAAACTCTGCTAATAAATCAATTCTCAGAAAATGAGCGCACAAAGGTTAAGTATGTCTTTTTTGTTTTGAGGTCGATTTCGTGAAAGTTGAGTTCAAATTGTCCGCCATGTCTGGAGGAAAAATTATTTCTGCTCAACAACAGACTTTTTCCATTTGTGTAATGTTTTCAAAAAGCTGAATTCGGCGAAACTACTTATTGAGCGGTCCATCTTGGCGGCCCATATCGCAATAATTCGAACGAGAATTATCCTTTTCATCTTGGACTAGTTTGGCTTATGATAAGGTAGCATATCGTTTCCTTTTCCCTGATAGTTGAAACAAAAATCTAAAAATATATACACACTGAGGTTACCAAAATACAACAAAGGTATCGGGCGTCCTTACAAAGCCATTTTGCTTGCTTGTTTGAAAAAAAAAAAATTATTTTGATACCTAATATCACGTTAATGATTGCAAAATCGTAGTAATGAGTATGCAGTATACTATTGATGGAGTTGTGATCAGTTTGGTAGCACTGGTTGGTCGTCAATGATACAGTTTGCTAGAGGTGATGAAGAAACTCCGTCACACTCTTTCCCGTTCGTTTACTTCTAGTTCTGTACTGCAATCATCATTCCATTCACCCCTTAGTCGACCACCGATCAATGCATCATCTCGATCCATTAGCCTATATCCGTTCCTTCCATCTGTTAATTCATATTGTCATACTGCCATCAGTTAAACGGTTTATCAATCAATCAATCAATCAATCAATCAATCAATCAATCAATCAATCAGTCAATCAGTCAATCAGTCAATCAGTCGTCAATCAGTCAATCAGTCAATCAGTCAATCAGTCAGTCAGTCAGTCAGTCAATCAACCAATCTGTACTGTATTTTTTTTTTTTTTCTGCAGGAGACTTTGCCATCCTCACATTGTGGAATTCTACGGCGCTGCATTCAGGAAAGTTTCTAGAGGGGTGGAAGTAACATTTGTTATGGAACGCTCAGGAGAAACTCTCAAGGAGTACCTCATGGATCAGCCTGGAAACTGTCCTTCAGTGAATCCTTTGTCCACACTGGGTATCATCCAATGGGCCGAGCAAATTGTTGAAGCGCTGATGGTCATACATAGTATGTTCCAAGGATGTGTTCATGGTGATCTGCGACTGGAAAACGTCTTGGTAGGGAAAAATGAATATTTAACAACACAGAATAGATACTTGGTAGCGAAGCCCATCAGATAACGACTCTCGTGGTAGAAGGCTAGTAGATTTATCCTATAACATATTTGAAGGCGAAAGAAAGCAATAATGCCTATGAAATCCCACGGAACGGCGGCCTCTAGATAAGGAACAGGAAATAAAATTAACCGGAACAATGAAAATCTTGGATTTAATCTCACACCTCTAGATCCGATCAGGGAGCAGGTGGTGGTAGTGATGTATTCGCAGTCATGGCACAAACTAAGGAAAGGAAATTAGAGCTATAAACGTGCAAAGCTGAAGAAAAAAAAAACTATCTGCAAATATTAACACACCACGATAAAAGTCGTGTATATATTTCACTGACTAAACTGCTCTGCATCTTATTTTTACCCTGTCTGCTTCCCTGACCTACAGCTAAGGCTATATATTACTCTGAAATTGTACTTATTAGAGATTACCACTCTGTAGGAGTATGAGCTACTTTGGATAGTACTTTCTGTGATTTCCATGATATAAATGATGAAGCCATCCGTGGTTTTTCCAAAGTTATAATAATAATAATAATAATAATAATAATAATAATAATAATAATAATAATAACAGCAACAACAACAACAACAACAACAAAAATAATAATAATAATAATAATAGTAATAATAATGACTTTATTACAGTGTCAATTACATCTAGCAGTATAGAATCCCCACTGATAATAGGGGACACCTAACTAGAACTATCTAAAAATAATATACAGAAAAGTCCTATAAGAGAAATTAAAATTATGAGTTACAAAGATGACAGCCACTACATCCATCTAGGATGATAAAAGTCGTGTATATCGTTCTTACAACTCGTTTTCAATCCAGTCGAAGTGTGCGGAAGATACTATAAATAAAGGCTCCTGCATTGTGAGAATTCAAACTCAGACTCCAAAACACCTCCTGTACCTATAAATTGTTACGCTTTTGACAACTTCATACGATTTTCGTTATAAATATAACATAAAAATCAAGCATTTTAATGGCCTTAGCCTCCAAGAGTCTCCTAGCAGGTAGAGTATTAGGGCTAGTAACCAGACAGAACAGAAAAAAGAAAACTTCTCATTTTATAATTTGCATCCAACCAAGACTTAAACAATTTTATCAAAAGTCTTGAAACATGTAGCAGATAAGTACTGCGAAGTAAATTTCTTAGCAATTCATGTTAATAATTAGGCTAGTTTACCGATGTACATTACTAAAACTTTGAATTCCTTGTGAGCATTTACAATGTTTTTCTGTTTCTCGCCACAGCTGGACAGTTGTAACATCCGAAATGTCAAACTAAGCAACATCTGTTTGACCAAACAATTGACCATCGAGCCTGGATCGAAATGTGATGCGTTTCTCCACCTTCCTTCAGAGGCCGTTCGTAACAGAGCGTACAACACCTCGTCGGAAATTTATAGCCTCGGGATAATGCTGTGGGAGATGTGGTACGGAAAGGAAGCCTTCTTCGAAATGAAGGGTCAGGACTTGGAGGTGCTTCTGGCGAACGTGGAAGAAGGCCACCGTCCCAAAATTACAGGTGTTACTACTCAGCCGTCAGTGTTATGGTCTGAGCTCATAGATAGATGCTGGGCAAAGAATGCAGCAGAAAGAAATACTCTTGCGGATTGCAAGTCAGCTATCACGGCAATGTTAGCAAATTAAAAGTAATGCCTAGTGCCTAGTCCTCGACCTTAAGCTGAGACATTAGAACAAATAAGTTAGATCATCTTAAGGTGGCTTAAAACAGTTTTCTGTTTCTGTTTTTTAGACTAATGAACTAGGTGCGATTTCCAGGCTTGGAACTGTACCGTTCTGAATGACTGTGCTACTTTTTAAGGTAGCTCTCCACTTTACCTTTTATTGTGTTTACGTCATAAGTTAAGGTTGCTCTGTTCTGTTGCATAGCAACAAACTTGACCTACTTTTTACCATCAATTGCATCTAACTTAAAAACTAAGCCCTTGACCCCTTGTTCTTTTTCTAAAGGTAATTTTATTAGCCGCAAAAGAAGAAACATGAAAAATGATGAAAAAAAAAGTCTGAACTGTAGATTTAGCTTAAATTAAAAATTGGAAATTTCCAAGTTGGAGGAATTCCACTTCACATGTTTTTTACAACTTCGCACATGTGTTCCGCTTTCGCTGTAGAATATTTTTTGGCATTAAAAAGTAGGGTCACCAGATCAGTTTTTGAGATTTTAGCTTCGTGGATAAGAAATTTTAGTTTTTTTCCTGCTGTTTTTTTAGATTGATGTTCGGCGCGATCGATTGCAACATCAACATCGCAATTTTCGTTTATTTACGTTCCCGCAGAGTGGTTTAAAAGGTTGTTTTTCCTTTGAAATTACCTGAAGGATGGACGTTCTCGAAGGTAGAAATAACTGATAACTCAAACAGCTTACTAAACATGGCGAAAACAAAGTTTTACGAAGTAGGTCTCGCGCCGCCATGTTTGTTTTGAGTTTTTGCAAGCTGAAAATCTCGCGCGCTATCTCGCGACCCCTCGGGCGGTTCTGTGATGTCTCGCGCAGAAGTACGCACTAGAGCCCCGGCGTCTCACGGAAATATTTCGGTTTTGAGCCACTTTAAGTGAAAACTGGTCAATTAATACAATCATGTGATAATCAATTAACGCACTTAGGAAAAAGTAAGTCATGATCACTAGAACTACGACTACAATATTAATTTGCCAACGCTCCTTTTGACCCTTACAACGGTGCCCTAAGTTGTGTGGCGCGCCGTCAGCTATGAACGTCAACAAATTATGGGAAATAATCTGTGAATGAATTAGAAGTTTTTGAAAGCATTTGAAGTCGAGATCAGGGCTAAAAGCGTGGCGCAGAAATCTAGATAAGGGAAAAGTGTAGCTTTCTTCTGTAAGACGATTACAGTGCTGCCTGATCAGCACACAGGCATGGCAGAAATCATCCAACCAGCTGGACAGAGTGCATTGAAGAGATATATATTTCCTTTCAATGTAAAGAAAGGAGGAAAGAAATTCAATACTTACTTTAGCAGTAGATTATCTTACAACATTATACACCTTAAAGGTATTATATGAAATACATATTAACCCAATTCCTAAGTGTTCTCTACCACCCCATCCCCTTCTCCGGCCTGGTACGGATTGTGTGTCGCCAGAGAACGCGTGTCCGCTGTATGTCATTCGGTGGCGTCAAGACCTTTTGACGCCAAATCGAGCAAGGGAAGAGAACGCCCGGGTTCTAAGCTGTATATACACGTAACTTGTTAAAACGATTGAATGAATGTAAATATTTCTAACTGCGCCTAATTTAGCTGCATGTAGCATTCTTGTTACTCTTATACAGTCGGACCTCCACTAACAGCCACCTCTCTACAAAGGCCACTTTTCTTTATTCCCGGCGAGCAGTCCATGCATTCGTTCTTATTTTAACTTCTCTACAAGGGCCACCTCTCCACAACGGCAACGGCCACTAGAACTCGTCCCAACTAACAAAATAACTCGGCAAACAGCCAAACGCATTTTTTTTTTTTTCACTGTAAAAGGTCACAAGACTTGATCCATACCGTGCGCCGTTGGTCTCTGTTTCTGTTACTTTTCTGTTTTTATTATGTATACTAAATATACTAAAATAAGCATCTTTGTGAAACAAAATGTTAAATCCCCGAAAACAAAAACAGGTTTTATATTACACCCTTACCTCCCCATAACGGCCTCCCCTCTACAACGGCCACTTTCCTAGGTCCCCAAGGCGGCCGTTCTAGAGGTTCGACTGTATTTATTTGGGCAGATTAGCTTTGTGTTGTCTTCACTGTCGTTTACACTGCGACCACTCCGAGCAAGGCCACTCAAAAAAAAATATTTGCAAATTGACCACTGGCATTTTAAAAGATTTAAAAAAAGTTGTTAGTCAAAATGATCACAAATCTGTTGCCTTTTTAACGTACAGCTTGATTACATCGATAATCTGTTGGAAAGCTATTGTTAACCTCTATAATTTTTATTCGTCAAATTTGTCGAAAATTTTGCCGGCCGGCCTTGGTTTGTGTGGTTGCATTGTAACTTTATTCCGCGTTTTGGCAGTTTTATCACGATAAAATAAGGTAGGAACGTACAAGAAAGTCGTGTCAACGCAAAATCAAGATGGGAGAGCTTTGGCTTGAGTAGGAACGTTAGCGAAACCTAAGTTGCCACACCAAGATACAAGTTCAGATATTGAGGGAAGTTATAAAGTTTCTTTATTATTTCTCCATAATACGATCTGCTTGGACTCTTTCTGCCGCTCGCCAAAGCCTACTGAAAATACCACATCGTACGTTTCTTTAAATGAGGCAGTGATTGATGTTGAAATAAAACATATTTTCTTTACTGAACGGAAAACGTCTCAGAGGAGTTTGATAAGGAATGCCACATTATAAAAATAAACGACACCGACAGTTCAGTTTTGTTCCTTTTAATATAATTTATATGTTTTTTCACACAACGTTTATGTGTCAGTTATAAAACAATAGCTATGCATACTATCGTTTGATTTATCAAGCAAATCACTTGATGATTGGTAACTAGAAGACTATTAAATATCCCCCCCCCCCCNTGAAGGATGGACGTTCTCGAAGGTAGAAATAACTGATAACTCAAACAGCTTACTAAACATGGCGAAAACAAAGTTTTACGAAGTAGGTCTCGCGCCGCCATGTTTGTTTTGAGTTTTTGCAAGCTGAAAATCTCGCGCGCTATCTCGCGACCCCTCGGGCGGTTCTGTGATGTCTCGCGCAGAAGTACGCACTAGAGCCCCGGCGTCTCACGGAAATATTTCGGTTTTGAGCCACTTTAAGTGAAAACTGGTCAATTAATACAATCATGTGATAATCAATTAACGCACTTAGGAAAAAGTAAGTCATGATCACTAGAACTACGACTACAATATTAATTTGCCAACGCTCCTTTTGACCCTTACAACGGTGCCCTAAGTTGTGTGGCGCGCCGTCAGCTATGAACGTCAACAAATTATGGGAAATAATCTGTGAATGAATTAGAAGTTTTTGAAAGCATTTGAAGTCGAGATCAGGGCTAAAAGCGTGGCGCAGAAATCTAGATAAGGGAAAAGTGTAGCTTTCTTCTGTAAGACGATTACAGTGCTGCCTGATCAGCACACAGGCATGGCAGAAATCATCCAACCAGCTGGACAGAGTGCATTGAAGAGATATATATTTCCTTTCAATGTAAAGAAAGGAGGAAAGAAATTCAATACTTACTTTAGCAGTAGATTATCTTACAACATTATACACCTTAAAGGTATTATATGAAATACATATTAACCCAATTCCTAAGTGTTCTCTACCACCCCATCCCCTTCTCCGGCCTGGTACGGATTGTGTGTCGCCAGAGAACGCGTGTCCGCTGTATGTCATTCGGTGGCGTCAAGACCTTTTGACGCCAAATCGAGCAAGGGAAGAGAACGCCCGGGTTCTAAGCTGTATATACACGTAACTTGTTAAAACGATTGAATGAATGTAAATATTTCTAACTGCGCCTAATTTAGCTGCATGTAGCATTCTTGTTACTCTTATACAGTCGGACCTCCACTAACAGCCACCTCTCTACAAAGGCCACTTTTCTTTATTCCCGGCGAGCAGTCCATGCATTCGTTCTTATTTTAACTTCTCTACAAGGGCCACCTCTCCACAACGGCAACGGCCACTAGAACTCGTCCCAACTAACAAAATAACTCGGCAAACAGCCAAACGCATTTTTTTTTTTTTCACTGTAAAAGGTCACAAGACTTGATCCATACCGTGCGCCGTTGGTCTCTGTTTCTGTTACTTTTCTGTTTTTATTATGTATACTAAATATACTAAAATAAGCATCTTTGTGAAACAAAATGTTAAATCCCCGAAAACAAAAACAGGTTTTATATTACACCCTTACCTCCCCATAACGGCCTCCCCTCTACAACGGCCACTTTCCTAGGTCCCCAAGGCGGCCGTTCTAGAGGTTCGACTGTATTTATTTGGGCAGATTAGCTTTGTGTTGTCTTCACTGTCGTTTACACTGCGACCACTCCGAGCAAGGCCACTCAAAAAAAAATATTTGCAAATTGACCACTGGCATTTTAAAAGATTTAAAAAAAGTTGTTAGTCAAAATGATCACAAATCTGTTGCCTTTTTAACGTACAGCTTGATTACATCGATAATCTGTTGGAAAGCTATTGTTAACCTCTATAATTTTTATTCGTCAAATTTGTCGAAAATTTTGCCGGCCGGCCTTGGTTTGTGTGGTTGCATTGTAACTTTATTCCGCGTTTTGGCAGTTTTATCACGATAAAATAAGGTAGGAACGTACAAGAAAGTCGTGTCAACGCAAAATCAAGATGGGAGAGCTTTGGCTTGAGTAGGAACGTTAGCGAAACCTAAGTTGCCACACCAAGATACAAGTTCAGATATTGAGGGAAGTTATAAAGTTTCTTTATTATTTCTTCATAATACGATCTGCTTGGACTCTTTCTGCCGCTCGCCAAAGCCTACTGAAAATACCACATCGTACGTTTCTTTAAATGAGGCAGTGATTGATGTTGAAATAAAACATATTTTCTTTACTGAACGGAAAACGTCTCAGAGGAGTTTGATAAGGAATGCCACATTATAAAAATAAACGACACCGACAGTTCAGTTTTGTTCCTTTTAATATAATTTATATGTTTTTTCACACAACGTTTATGTGTCAGTTATAAAACAATAGCTATGCATACTATCGTTTGATTTATCAAGCAAATCACTTGATGATTGGTAACTAGAAGACTATTAAATATCCCCCCCCCGCCCCCCTCAATTTTTGAATGATTTACTCGACCACAAGTTATCGTAGCGAGAACTGAATCATTTTCACGCTGCGTGTATGTCTTTGTATTGCTATTTTTTATTGGTTTTTCGACATGTAGCATGTTCATAGGGGTAACTTTTGATGATCAAAATTGGTCTGTGCTCCTTAGGTTAAGGTAAAAAGGTAAAGTCTGCATCACTCACGAAACAAGTGGCCCATCAGGTCGGAGTTTATCCCGGTTTCCGTATCATGAAGCGACTAGGAGTGTTTCTACCGTCCCCTCTGGATGGGACGTTAGTCCATTACAGGGTTACCCCTAGGATTAAATTTGCCAATACCCATGTATACACCCGGGTGGAGAGAGGCACTATGAGGGTAAAGTGTCTTGCCCAAGAACACAACGCAGTTTCCCTGGCCAGGGCTCGAACTACGACCGCTCGATCTGGAGACGAGCGCACTAACCATGAGGGCACCGCGCCTCCCCGTGCTCCATAGAGAGGGGGAAAATTCCCATCTCATGTGAAAAGGACTAGGATGCTCACCAGAAAAATTGCACTAACTTAAACCATTTAAGGAGACTAATCTCCGCGTGACTCAAATAAGAGCTAACTGACTTAAAAGAATGCTGCTTTCATCTGTGAAGAACTGTCAAAGATTTTACGTGAGATCTTTTTAAAAATCAACTTATTTCTTGAGATTCAATCGTAAAAGATATTTACCATAAAACATCGGCACTCTGCCCTCAAGACCAAAGCCTGCTGATTTTTCTCTCATAAGCAAGACGACGAGAATCCCTTCTTCACCCCTCCCTCCCGACATAGGAGACCTAGCCCTAGGAGTGTGACGTCATTTTCCAAAAACCAAAGAAACTGTTCATTGTCAATGCGACATCTTTTAAAGTCAGAGTGACATCGTTTAAAATCAGAGTGACTTCAATCTTCTCAGCACTATTTAAGTGCACATAAGATCGTGTGATATTGAAGTAGCTAATTATTTGAAATAGATTTTCACAGTTTTATTCTTACTGTTATCATTATAAGAAAAAAAATACCTAAATTAAATTTTAAAAAGTTAGGCAACAGCCGACAAATATGGCATGTGCCCGGGCAGGTGTTCTATGTCTGTCGTGAAATGTCACGCTGGGATCACACTGTATTGACAATGAGGTAACACAGTTGCAGTAAACAAACAGTCACGCTATTGATGATGCGTTCACTACTTGGGCATCAAGCCCAAATAAATTTACCTCGTTCATGTAATGTCAAAGAAAGTTTACTAAGACGGCAATGCCAAGCGAAATTGGAGAACGTCAGTTTAGACTGAGACAGCACAGTATCTAAAAATTATCATAACCACAAACTTGAAATATAATCTAAATTTTAATTAACCACGCACAAGCCTCGTCGGGGGTGTAAGCGGGTTTATAGTAGCAGTGAAAATGTAAAAGAAAAACGGGCTTGGCAGTTATACTATATCCTCTCATAAATCGAAAGCAAGCAAAGTAATAAATACCACAGAAAATGATAACAATAAAGGATTTGCAAGAAAAACCTATTAAAATTCCAACAATAAAAAAGGAACATGTTACGACCTGTCATAAGTGACATTTTTATAGACAAAATACTCAAAATCTCAGATCTGCCAATATAAAGAGTCTAAAAAGCACTCTCATGGATATCCGGCTTTTTCAGAGTAAATAAAATTAGCATTTGATAGAACCGAAAAGCAACGGCCTCGCCGAATTAGGCAATTTTTACGAGCAAAACTTGATATCCGGGTTAAAGAGTTACTAGTCACGGAAACGCTCGAATGTTCGTGACATCTGAT